CACATACACACACACACAAATTAATAAGCCTCTAACTACCTCCCTTTGGGACCTCAAAATCAAAAGGGAATGGTTTGTATTCTTCATTTTCATGAGTCCTGCTTAAGACGACCACTTGTCGACGTCGGCCACTTTTCTCCTCGACAATGGGTGGCCGTCTTACACAGGTTCGGCTGTACTTCGTAATAATATCATTGTGTGAATTGTCCTTCATACTGAAACGCCTTAGAACAGTGGACGAAACTTCTGCATTCTTCAGGGGCGGAGAAACGGTTTGAAACGAGAGGGGGTTGGGGGGGGGGGTGTTCAAATGGACACCAGACCATCGTGAGACGGAATTGGGCGTCTTTGCAACTCTCCAGAAACGTTTTGCTGATACAGAGTCAGAATCAGCGACATATTTTTTTTCCCACGGAGGGTAACAGTTAACATTTTGGCACATTTCGACAGAACTTTGCGTAAATTTGACTGTGACCTCCAAAATCAAACACGTTTATTTTTCACGGTCGCAGGTCGAATCGGTCGTATTGTGCCAAAATGGTAGCTTTTGTGCCTTAATGGGGGACAGTCTGGCTTGCCCTGACACAGTTCGACTGGCTTCGACTTGCAGTGTGCACTGAATATAAGACTGTTTCGTTACCTCTTTTTCTATCCCCTCTTTCCTGCTTCCTTTTCCGTATATATATATATATACAGTTGAACCCTACTCTGAATGACACCAGTATAATATGACAATCACCTGTGCAACGGTTACTTTCCATTTCCTGTTTTACATATTTTTAAAAAAACATTATAATGACACTGTGTCCAACTGTCTAATAGTGTCTAATAAAGGCACTTTTCTCCTCGACAATGGGTGGCCGTCTCAGACAGTTTCGACTGTTTCTCTTCAAACTGGACAAAATGAACTTTGTTTTCCCAACTTACGTTCCTGGGTATTTGGTTGGCAGGTGCTCTGGTGTGGTTTGCTTCTTCTTTCCTATCAAACATCTATCGTCCTCATCTCTTCTCCTTCTTTTTTTGTGTTTGTTACTCTCTTGTAACACTTCTAATCTCCAGCACTTATATATGACCGTATTGTGTTGCAAGTGCCGTAAAACTGTTACGAAAACTTTTTAAAAAATTGCCCTCATCTTCAACCAAATTGTGCTGCAAGTGCCGAAAAATGCTTTTACACAAACGACGTGTTATGCAGTTGCGAGTGGCGCTCATAGAACCTATGCTGTTGTGAGTGTCGCAAAACACTTGCAAACAAACAAACAAACGCACAAACTAACACACAAACAAACAGACTAACTAACACCGTGCTCCTCTCCACCACAGATCCTGCGCTTCATCCGTCAGACGGACGAGGTGTCCCAGTACCTCAGCATGGTGTGGCGCCTCCACCCAGCCACCCTGTTGTCCGACTGCCTGGCGGAGATTTTCCGGGTCATCTCCACGCCGCGCGACGACGCCACCGCCGCTGCCCTGGAGAACTCGGAGCCGGCCATCTGCCTGGCGTCGCTCGTTAAGCACGTTCCTATAGAGCTGGCCAACAGGGTGAGTAGTATTAATGACAATGTTAATCATCATCATCATCATCATCATCATCATCATCATCATCATCGTAATAATAATGATAATAATAACAATA